AACCCATACCTTGATTATCGGTACTCTCCATCTCCGGGGGCTCATCGAAAGTCATAGTATTGGGATTGTATCGCCACAACCACCGCGACCTCTGATTAACCATTGATTTAATTTGTATTGTCTTTCCGAAGTTAAATATGCCGTCGAAATGAGAGGTCTCACAAAATTTGGGCACATTTTCCGTACAAATCATGTCTCTAATGAATAGTGCTATCAGTAAAGGGGTCACTAGTTTGGGAATAGTAGCCATATTTGTGATCAAATCTAGAGATAATCTATTTTGTAATAAGTTTTTACCGTTAAGTAGATTAATAATTCAAATTACAGAACTGTATTTATTAATGCAACAATTGTGTCATTTATAAATTAACGTACATTTTATTTCAAACTGTTAAACAAATAATTAAGCAAATCATTAGTACATTCAAATTATCACAAAAATCGATCCACAAGTCAATGACAGCATAAATGAAATCGATTACCATAAGTACGGTCATAAGAAATCAAAGAGATTACAGTAATTCAATGGAAACAATGGGATTTGAATTACAAATCAAACAAAAAAGGATTAAAAAACCAAAAAACAAAATCAAATACAATTAGAAAATCAATCGATTATAAGACTAATCACTGGTTATAATGTTATGAAAGGAAATTACTAAACGGACAGTGAGTTCAACAGTAATAGAAGTGATTGCGGAGCGAATCGTTGACTTTGATCCGTGCGTTCAACTCGAGGGCCACTCTGTGCTCGTCGTCGCCGTCGTATTGCTTCTCCAGAGTCTTCATGTGTTGGTTGCGGGCAATGATGTGATCCTTGGCTCGTTTGGCGGCCAAATGGGCGTACATGACGGGTATGGGCACCGACAGCGACTTCGTTGAGCGCACGTATGCGTGACACAAATAGTAGGACAAGCGCTCGATGGCGTCGAAAGTGAACCCATTGTCGTCGTGGAGCACCACATACTTGGCCGGACGGCTCGTCCCCTAAAAACATCAAAAATCAGTCATAAATAGCAAACAATAACCCAAGCATACAATGGCCCCCTCGTGACTGCACAGGTAGTACTCGAACAGCACGGGATCCACAATCTTCGTGTCGACGACAGTTCCCGCGGGAATGTTACCAACTTTGCTGACGTCCTTATCGTAGGGATTCTGAGGCATGAGTCGCGTGTTGTGTCGCTTCTGGACGACAACGAACGTGATCTTCGGCTTGTAGTTGAGGTCAATGGCGGCACAGGCAGCCAACAGCTGCTTGTGCTCGTGTCGGAGCACGTGCTCGAACTGGCCCTGAGAGACGCCGTCCCGGAACACCACCAAACTCGTGGGCAGGTTCTGGTTATTGGCTTTCACGCCCTTATAGGCGTACAACAGCTCCACCACCATGTCTTTGAACGCCAGTATCATCTCCTCTTTGCTGCGCTTCTGGACCCGAATGGCGGCCGAGTATCTCGTGAGCTGCGGGTCATAACTGCCCACAAGTGCTGCCACCGACGAGAACATCCTGTCGGCCGGCGCCGGGTGTGTGACGTCGGCGCCGATCACCATCAGACCCGTCGTAAACACGGGTGGCTTCGTGTCGCGGATCATCGTATTCTTGCCGTCGAGTTTGCCATTGATTTTGAGCAACAGATTCCTGACGCAACTCCTGACCATAAGATTACTGATTTTCATGCATTGGGTCATCACTCCCACGTCGATGTCCGCCATGTGTTTGATCTGATGGTAAGTTCCATCGCCGTATGGGATGCAGAAGACCACGAGTGGCGGAAGTGTTGGCAAACTTTTAATTTTCTCGAAAACCAATTTAACGGTATCCGCGCCCCTGTAGTCCACTTTCTTAACGAACGGTTTGCTGACAGTGATTCCCATTCGCTTTGCCTCTGCGGTCAACCGACTTATGAAGTCCTCGACATTACTGTCGTGATTGGCGTCAAAGTGGGGCGCAATCGACACGAAGAACCAATCGGATAGCGGTTTCGGTTCGAAGAGTTTGCGGTCGTCGCCCATACAGACAGGTTTGTCGAGCACCCGGGCGTTGAACTCAATGGGTTTGGTGTCGAGAGAGATCCCCAACTCGTCGAACAGGTCTTTGCTTTCGGTGGCGATCTTATTGACGGTGTCCTTCACGAACTCGAACCGCTCTTTAGGTCTCTGTT